CGAACAGAGAAAGGCAAGTTTCTCCGTGACTGCAGCTGTCAGTCAAAGCTCTTATGATGACGTTTCACCCCAATTTAACATCACCGCGGTAGGAATTAGAATCAAACTTATGGGAAAAGAGACCCCTTGAACATCAATCAGCGTGATGAGAACTATTGAAAACAAAAGAAAGAATCTTTGGAAAAAAATTATCTAAGGAGAATTAATTTATTTTAGTCTGACCCCAGTCCCATCCGCTAACATGGAGGAGGCGGGGTTTATGACCTATACTGCAGCCAGACACCAGGGGGCGATAGAGACGTTTTGGCTTCATTTTTGCTGAGCTGAGGGCTGAGGGCTGAGTTTAACGGTGCACACTCTCTGTAGTTTGTGTCTGTTTCACTGCCTCTTAAAGGGCTAAAAAGCTGAGGATTTAGTATCCTTGGAATTTGCTCACAGTGTCCTCTCTGCTTCTTCTTCTTTTTTTTTGCACAGAGCAGTCTCAGAGCAGTCTCACTTCCAAGCTTCTCTTTGGTAAACTTGACAGAGCAGCTTCCTGTAACATCTGTCTCAGAGGTTTAAGTACCAAGCCTGTTAATATTCCTGCAGAGTGTCTTCTACAGGTAACTGCTGTATAAGAGGGGAATGAAGTCTGATGTCTTCAGTCTCATCTTCAACAACTTCTCCAATTCGTCCTCATTCATGGTATCATACTCACAATTCTCACTGATACATTCATCTCAGTCCTCATCAGTAATGGGATCATCTTCCTCATCGGGCTCTCTTTTTATTGTGGTCTAATTTTTTTAACAGCACAAAAATCTGGCATTGTTACACGGGTGTGTTTACTTTTTATATCCAAAGCACTTATATAAAAAGTGCACACTGTCACTTGTTTCTTCTTTCTTGTGAGATATATATTCTTGTAAAATACCCAGAGTTTCTACTTCAAATTCCCTACAGTATAAATGTACCTTCTTTCTTTTAAAATACCTGAAGCTACTCAGTACTTAAACGTGACTTCTGACCGTCGGGTGGTCAACAGCGTCGCAGATCCTGAGCAGCAATGTGACGTTTCTGTTCATGTGTCATGTGCTCTAATCGTTGTTTAGTTCAGCCCTGCAAAGAAGCTTTTTCATCAATGCTGCGCCCCAAGCGAGCATGCTGTTAGTTTTCTTCTAGCCGTCTTTTATTGTCAGCTTTCGCTGAAAAGTGTTGAATAGAAACACAAATAAATGTATGTTTTACAGTCTTTACTTTTGACTTCTTTTTGCGGGGAAAGTCTCTGAGCCGAGCGACAGACAACTTCAGCAGCACCACATTTTTGTTCTCTGAGCGCTTCATCCATCCATTCATCCACTGCGGCGAGGATGGGGGACGCGGCGGCGGAGTGCACCATCAAGGTGGTGTGCCGTTTCAGGCCGCTGAACAGCTCTGAGGTGGCCCGCGGAGACCAGTACATACCCAAGTTTAAGGGGGACGACTGTGTGCTGATGGTGAGTGTGCGAAACAGTAAGCGGACCTTTTCACATTTTATTAACTGAAATTGTGTAAAAAAAAAAAAGAAAAGAAAGAATTTTTTTTTTTTACATTGTTCTATATTTTGGGTTGGAAATGCTGATTTTGGAGGCACTAACAGTGGCTAATTAAGGCTAATGATAGCCACTTAAATAATCTTGAACAGGTCATCTTCACCATGCCTGCACTGAGTTGCTGCAGTGTGATTGGCTGATGTGACTGCTTCGGAGCAGTTGAACATGAACATTCACTTTCTTTAATGTCTAAGTGCTTTTTAACATTCGTACCCCACCAACCTACCAATTAGTAGATGACCTGCTCAACCTGCCAAACCACAGCCATCCCCCAAAATGTTCCTCACTGTAGTAAAATAGTTTAGAAACATATCCCACTTGTTTAGTAACTTGCGAACACACTTGAGCTGTGTCACATCAAGTATCTTATGTTTTTAATCTGATGCTCTTAAAGTGCCTCAGCTGAGGACACCCTGAAGGCAGAGGAGGAAGTAACAAAGCAGTAACAAAGATGGCGTGAGGAGAAAACAGTAATACAGGCTTATGTAAATGCATGGGTGGGAAATAAATAAAGACAGGAAGTCAAAGCAAAGCAATACCCCCAAAGAGCTGACCTTCAAAGTAAAACAAGACTAAAAGAGAGACACTAAGGACAATGGATAAAATATTACAAACACAAACTAAAAGTAGAAAACAGT